CACACTAGTAGCCTACTGTACGTGCAGTGAAATCTAAAATGATAATGCCAGTGGTAAAACTAGTACTTAAGTTGGGTACGTGACCCAATGTGATGCAGGTGTTCAGATACATGTATAGTGCAAGAACAAATTGAAAATTATCATTTACAAAAGATGTTTTATTTGAACTTTGCCATCTAGGCCTATTTCCAAAAACAGGCAAATAAGGTGTGTTTGTGTGTGTGTGTTGATGGGAGAGGGGTCGGGGTTGACTAAATTGATTGTGTATATGGCAGCTTTCAAGAAGTTTCTGCCTAATCAAATATAAATAAACTTTGCACATTTTGAAAAATTCATCAAAAACGCTTTACACTAATTTGAATAATATTATTTGTCGTTAATCTATATGAGAAAATATATTTAAAAGTTCCAATTATGTGCCACCCCCCCCCCCCCCTTTATCAAACCTAATTTACATCATTAATTTAATTCTGTTGTTTAATTTCCGACTGGTAATGAATTAAGAATAAGAAATACCTATAAGATGGAGGCCCATGGGTCACATGGTCACTAGCTGCAGATCTGTATAGCGTTATGGTTTTATATATTAGTCTTTGACCATAAAGCTACAGATCCTGTAATGCAAAAAGGTGCAAGTTACGGTGCAATATTTTTGCACACTTCTGGGGAGAATTTCTCCACTTTCCAGCATCGGTCAATTTACTACCTTTCACCCCCTAATTCTAGGCACATTATTTAACTAATCTGTATATTTTATCCATCTCCAATCCTTTTATAGTCGTCTCTACACGAGATAAACTCGCTTGATTAAAATTATTTGTTAGATTGCATAAAATTCACATCAAGCGAGTTTATTGCCTGTAGAGATGACTATAAATGGCTGAAAGGTGGACAAAATATACATTTTGACTACAGAATGTGTCTAAAATAAGGGAGTGAAAGGTAGTTGATTGACCAATGCTAGAAAGTGGAGAAATTCTGCAAAAGTGCGCAAAAAATATTGCGCGTAAATTGCACCTTTTTTTGCATATGGGGATCTGTAGCGTTATGGTCAAAGACAAATATATAAAACCATAACGCTGCAGATCTGCAGCTACATGGTCACCTGAGCATATTATGCTCAATTTGAAGAATACATGTATTATGTAAATTATTGAATTATATTGACTTTTTTCCGTGGTAAAGCCCAATATGAAGAAGTGCGCATTTAGAGGCAAACACCTTAGTGCGGGTATTACTGTCTCATGACAGCATCTAGTTTTTATTACCCATGACTTTGAAGTGTGACCTACTGTCAAAACAAAATTATTTCAAATTGATCATTTTGAAAGAGAAATAAAAGGGCATTCATTTTATACATACATGTTTATTACCTGTGATAAGACCTTTCCAAAATGTATCGTGACTTTTTGACTCTGTGACCTTGACCTTGAAGTATAACTTACTTTTCAATAATGTTGTATTTCCTTTTGATTGAGAAGAGATACGACTTTCACATTTCACGTGTATATTACCCATAACAATATGTTTCCCAACATGCTATGATTTTTTGACCCCTTGACCTTGATGTTCTACCAAAATTTCAAAAGAGTGAACTCTCCCAAAAGAGGATTAGGCCACTTTGTAAAATGAAGTTGAAGTTTAGAGGAGAAGGGGCTTTTTGCATAAAAAACGTCATTTTTCGACCCCCATTTGACCCCCCAGAGTAAAATCCAAATTCCGAAACCTTACTGCACATCTACATGACACCAAACAACCATCTCCTAAAAGATGATTAGGCTGCTGAGTAAAATGTAGGAGGAGTTCAGGGAAGAAGGGGCTTCTGCATAAAGAAACGTCATTTTTTGACCCCCATTTGACTCCCCAGGGAAAAAACAAAATTCAGAAACCTTACTGCACATCTACATGACACCAACAACCATCTTCCGAAAGATGATTAGGCTGCTGAGTAAAATGTAAGAGGAGTTCAGGGAAGAAAGGGATTTTTACAGAAAAAGCGTCATTTTTCGACCCCCATTTGACCCCTGGGGCAAAATCAAAATTCCAAAACCTTACTGCACATTTACATGACCCCACCATCCATCTCCCAAAAGATGATTAGACTACTGAGTAAAATGTAGGAGGAGTTCAGGGAAGAAGGGGCTTTTTACATAAAAAACGTCCTTTTCGACCCCCATTTGACTCCGCGGGGCAAAATCAAAATTCCGAAACCTTACTGCACATCTACATGACCCCACCAACCATCTCCCAAAAGATGATTAGGCTGCTGAGTAAAATGTAAGAGGAGTTCAGGGAAGAAGGGGCTTTTTACATAAAAAAAAAACGTCATTTTTCGACCCCCATTTGACCCCGCGGGGCAAAATCAATATTCCGAAACCTTACTGCACATCTACATGACACCACCAACCATCTCCTAAAAGATCATTAGGCTACTTTGTAAAATGTAGGAGGAGTTCAGGGAAAAAAGTGTGACAGTCGGACGGACGGAAGGACGGACAGACGGGCGGACGGACATGAGTAATAACAATATACCAAAACTTTCTTTAGATAGTGCGGGTATGAAAATGTTGAACACATACAGAAATTATATTTAGAAATCCTTTAGCATACAATAAATTTAAGCGCTCAGAGGCTCTTGCGCCAAAGGCGTTAAAATTAGTAGTGCGCCAAATATTCTCGTTTCACACCATGTTGCAAGCACGGCATGTTCTTTAATTATCATTGTAATAAATTTAAGACAATTAAAATGTTATTTTTTTTACACATAATGTTTTTGTGCGTTCTGTTTTCAAAAAATAAAATCAAAGAAAGTTAATGAATACAATTTTTACTCATTTTAACGGTATACAAACATGTATTTTCTGCAATTGAACTATAAGTAATTAAATTATGCCATGTTTAAATGCATATGTGTCCATTGAAATTGGATAAATGTTATTTATAAGATGCAACACTTGTGAAATAAGTGATAATCGTTTGTTTTTACATGTTTTCTTTTTAATTTTAATCATGTGTTTTCCTTACACTATATTCTTTTTTATATTAAGCTTCTGCTTTCATTTTATAAAATGGGGGTTTTGCGTATTGTATTTACAATTATATAAATTTATATGTGCACTACTCATAACTCTTTTATCCGTTTGAACAAGAAAGACTTTTTTGCTCATTTTTACCTTGATCACACTGCATTCCAATCCATCCAGCTGCACATCCCTCGTCACAATTTCCGGTCACGTGGTTACATGGAGTGTTTCTTATACAATGCCCTTTACATTGCCTTTTGCATTCCAAACCATAAAATCCCGATTCACATTCTAAGTTAAAAGACGTAACAGTTTATTTAGAAAATAAGACATCAAGATTTTTATATTAAAAGATATTTCAATATAAATAACAATAAATTTATCAATTTTTCTGCTCAGTTTGCATACTCTTTTCGCACATTTCCCCTGCGTATCCCTGTGTACAATCAAAACATGTTCCGTTGACAATGCTACATCTCTGTTCTTGACAGTTGATTGGACAAGGTGTGTTACAGTTATTTCCATGAAACCCCTTACCGCAACCTGGTTTAAAGGAACGTTCATTTGGTATTTAGTTTAAAACATTAAACAAAAAAAAAATCACCTATGTCGCTCTGACCTGTATGCAGTTGATATTTCTTTTCATAAAAATATGCAGAGCCCATGCATGTTATGACTCAGTGCAAGGTAAATGAAAGCATTACATAATCGAGCTTGACTTAATACTTATCTCACAGGTCTTTCTGTTTTGGGGATAAGAAATTTAAAAATATATATTTGAATTTGGATATTTTACGCATTTTCGTACTTCCGAGCAAACAACTTTAGAAAAGAATCAACTCCAAATAGTTCAAGATCCTGAAAAAAGCTTCATTGTATGGTTCTTATAATTTATTTAGTAAAATATTCAATTATAAAACAGATATGTCAGGCTGTACGATATCTTATTTCAAGCCTTCTTTGATTTTGAGTCAAAGTCTCAATGGTAGCAGCTATTGTTTATTGAAAATACGATGTCAGTTTGTCAAATGTTTAGTTGACTCATCTTCTCATGCATAAGGCTTTGTATTTCAACATTTAAAGCAATCTTAGGTTAAAAATAAAACGAGTTGTTTTCAAACAAAAGAGAAATACGCAATAAAAACAATTTTAAATCTTATATAATTTTTTAATTTAGCCTCAATATCATAAGTCTTGTGTGAAAAAGGGGATCATTCAAACATTATTAAAGATATCGCCATTGTAAGTTCCATTCAATAATTCCAAACTATGTTTATGTAAAATGTTATTTTTCTATCATGATGGAAATCAACCAATTCATGTAAAAATATCTAAATGTGTTTAAATCATAGCAAAAATGACCAAAACAAATTTCAAAAAATTTAACCTTCTACTTTCACTTCACATAGTTCTGTGTATATGCTCTGTATTTGGTATTCCCCAGGATAGGTAACACCGTCCAGTCTTTCATTGTAATAGATGACGTAACGACCATGTTCTATACACGTTGTATTAAACTCCAAGGGAGGTAATGGAAGTGTGTTCTTGTAACAAAGATAACCGTCCTCTTTCTTTTGAGTGTTGGAAATGTAAAGGGAAAATCCAGCAAAACGGCCTCTTTGTCTGAGCTCTGAAAAACATCCTTGAAGAACAATTACCGGTATATCATTTCTTCTTTAAATGTTATCTTTTATTCTACAGTACGAGTCGCTTTTTAGGAATGTTGACATATTGCTCCCTAAACTTACGGCAATGTATTTCGAAATATATCCCTTGAAAATAATTCAAGTGCATTAAATGAAAATGTATAGCATTAGGAAGATCAGGTATTTTGAAAATAATTCAAAATAATTCCCTGATATGCAACGAGAGAGTGTGAGATTGTTGAAGTTCTTCGGTCATAAGTACATGTATCTGTTTTAGTCTAATTCTATTTGTGAAAGAATTTCTATTTGTGAAAGAATAACGGAAAAGTTAGGTTTTCTACCATTGATTTATAAATTGATTCATTCCAAAGCTAATATGCACGTATCCTAATTAAGAGAACATACATAAGATTTGGAAATTGTCTGTATATATTTCAATGTAAATTTGATAGACTGATTGTATATTGTTTAACGTCCCTCACGAGAATTTTTCACACATATGGAGACGTCACCGTATGCCGGTGAAGGGCTTCAAATTTAGATCTATATTATACATATAGTGAAAGCAATCAGGGCCATTGAGCAGTTAGGGTTTTTAATCGTGCCAACGCCTACCGTGACAAGGTACCTAGGTGTTTAAGGTCATATCCGAAAGACCCGTGACTTTCACTTCTTGTTCCGAGCGCTTTGCAAAGGAACAGTAACTACCTATGTTTATGTCTTAGGTATGACACGGCGCTGAAAACGAGAATCAAACCCGGGCCTCTCGATCACGAAGCGAACACTCTACCACTAGGCTACCGTGACCGGTCAAATTTGATAGAAAACCACTTCATACAGCTCATAATTTATTTAAATTGTAAAATTCAATATAAATGAAGCACATCGTTTTTTGTTTTTTTCTTTTTTTCTTAATTGAGACAAATTAAACAATTTCTTTTAAACGCAAGCGGGGCTATCACGCAAATAAAAAAAAAATTGAAAAATGTTATACATTTTAAGACAATGTTCTTCTAACATTTGCTGAAACTTTTTGCAAAATGTTTTAAAAGTTTGAAAAATTTAAAAATCACGTATTTAAATCGTTTTAAAATTTTTTTGAAATATTTTGCTTAACTGTACTGAAAACATTAGGTCAAAACTTTTGCTTAAATGTTTTCAAAAGGTTTAAAACCGCTTGGTCCGATCCTAATCGCTAAAAAAATATATTCGTTTTCTTCTTGAAAAATAATTGTCCATAAATTGTTTCAACTTTTGTCAAATTATATCCCTAAAGTCTTTTTCTTTTTAAAAGATATCAAAATTCATAAGATAGAAAAATAATTTTTGTTAGGTCACACAAAAAATAATCCTTGTTTACATTGCGTGAAATCACCTTCGAAAAATTAAATTTATCGCTTACATGTATAACTCATGAAGAACAAATCCGAGCATTTTTCCCACAACAAAGTGTACACGGGCAATATTCTAGCCCTCGTTACTAAACTCCCTTTTTAAAAATCTTTAAAAGTATCTGATTTTCCTTTATTCTGTAAATATGCATATTATAATATAAAAATTACTATGGATTATATTCAGTTACTTTCTAAACTTTTAAAAGATATATTATGACTTAGGATTTTACTATTGGAAAAAAAACTCGGGTTTGCATTCTCTTCATAATTGGATATAACTGATCAAAGGATTTTTTGCAAAGGTGACTTCAAAACAGATCTTAACTTCCCGTCAGGAACTACTATTTGTCAACAAGGTTTTTGGTCTATGTTTTCCATATAAGGATCGTGTAATAAACTATTAAATCAATCTTATGATTAATTTTTATATGACATACTTTTATTGTGTAAGATAATATGCGCCTGTTTCGGATGAAGCGGCTTTAACAAGAAGTCTGTGAGCCAATGCTCACTAGTAATAACCCCGCTCTGATGTGAATATGTAATATCATGTTAATAAAAATAAGTTCAATTACGGATGGATGCACATATAAATAGGAAGTTGACATCAGATTCATATAAAAATAAACCCCACTCTTTTGCAAGCCTTAACAAAGTATATACTAAAATTTCAAGTATCTGCGATAAGCAGTTGCTGAGAAAATTGCGACCAAAATTTGTTATATATGAAACGGACAGATGCTTGTACCAACAGGAAGTTGACATCAGTTTTCAACAAAAATGAATCCCATCATATGGCGTGCTTTGGAGAACTCAGAAGATTGTAATAAAATTCAAGCATCTGCGATGAGTAGTTCCTTAGAAAACTGTGATTAAAATTTGTTATTTATGTAACATGTATGAAACGGACAAACGTACGTATAAACAGGAAGTTTACATCGGATTTGACCAAAAATGAATCCCATCCGACCATATGGTATGCCACAGAGAAGATTGTTTTGAAATTTCAAGCATCAGCAATGAGCAGTTGCTTAGAAAACTGTGACCAAATTTTGTTACGGACAGACACACACACAGACAGACGGACACACTAGAGTTAAACTGTATACCCCCCTCCTTTGGCGCGGGGGTAAAGCATACAGAATCAGGTGATTAAAACATTTTTTAAAAAAACTTTTCGAAACATTTTGAAAAAGTTTTAAAAACATTTTTAAAAGTTTTTGTGCTAGCTTGGAGCCTCCCCTTAAAAAGAGAGCATCTATAAATCAAAACATCACTCTTCATCGAACCCGTTATGTGCTAACTTCTCTTTTGCACAACATAAACTCAGTTACCGAAATACGACCCTACATTCAAAATTGCATTAATAAAATATACCCTCCAACTCCCATGTTAGGTGGATGTTAATTTGCTGTTCAACAGTTTTAGTTAATTATAAAATCATACCAAAGTCCCCATATTCCTTGTAGTCTTTAAAATATATGCTGATGCTGTAAATGCTGTGTTTGCTACCAAGATCTACGGTCCACCATATAGATTTGACCGAAGATCCCTTGCCTATACCCACATCCTTCGCGCACGTTTCTCTATCGCCATCAATGACTTTATCTGGACCACAGGGAGGAAAACATGTTGCAGTTCTGGATTGAGTTGCTGTTTTACCTTCTGATAAATTATCTATGAAAGAAAAAGTGTTCGTCTTAGGAGATTAAATTAATTCCAAGGAACAACATCAAATTCTATTAAATACCGCGGATAGTGTTACATTTACTTGTTTTATTTACTTGTAATTCCAAATCATGTTTCATGTTATGTTTATTGTCGGATCCCTTGAAAGCAAATGTATGTTTATTTGAAAGAACTGTATTTAAAAAGGGAAACCAATGAGCATGACAATATTTTTTTTAAAAAGCAACCTTGGTATTATCATTTGTAGGGAATATTTTTTTGAAAGCAAAAACAAATTAATTGTTTTAAAAGATCAATATAAGCCATAAAGGAAGCTATAACAAAGTAAATATTGCCTTTTTTTAAAGATATTATTCAATTTCATATAAAAAGTCGAAAAACAGCGTAAGCACTTAATATTTTACCTACCAAATCCTTCTAAACGATGTGTTCCTGTAAATAATACCAACGTTAGATAAATTGTACATGTATCCATGATATTAGATATAGAAAAAAGTATACCAGGACGTTTTTAGAAATAGATATATCGTTGTTATTGTTGTAAATACATAGTTTTAAATGTCTTTAAAACTTCCTTACAGTTTACTTTATTTATATTTTGACAAAACATATCATCCACGATCTATACAAATATCGACCTACCACCTAGCTCTAGATACAGTATTAAAATCTTCATGCATAGCGGACAAAATGACAAACTTCCTTTATTCGTCTGTCATTTAAACCATCCTCTTCAACTAATCGATATTTCTTTGCGATTGATGTTTTGATTTTATATATTATAAAAATATAAATATGAAACATGCCTGACAGTCATGAGAATAATTTGCAAATTATTAATTGGATCCATTATCATTTTTGATTTGAAACCCCTATTATGAACATTTCTTACAATAAAAGGTGATGTTTGAAAACCATAGCCGGACGGGGGAGGAGGTTGTCTCACTTATATTATGTGTTCCAGGTATGTGTTATAGTAATTAATGCACTTAACTGTATTTTCATTCTTATAAAGGACCATTCCAGAAATGCAAGTAATTTTTACTTAATGCACAGTATTTAAAAACACGGACTTATAAAACATCGGAGGTGGCATCAGGTGCCATGGAGGATTGAGGATATTTCAGTCCTAAGTTCACTTTTAGTAATTTTGCAATGTCCTTATTATGTTTACATTTCAAAATAAGTTCCCCTCATGATTTTGTTAGTTGTCAAGTACTAATTATATCTGTTTTCTCTGTGACAACTCTTTGAAGGTTAGAATGCTTTCTTCGAGCGATGCGTCAGGAGCTACTTAAGGGGGGTCATAATACATGTAAATCTTTAACGTCTGTCTGTGTGTCTGACAATAAGTAGGCCTTATATGCATATCAATATATCGTGCAGTTGTCTTTGTGTCAGTTGGCAGAGACTTGAAATTGACACGAAAGTACTTGAGTGTTATTTAAATCTACAAGTCTATGTTTTGAAACATCGCAGCGCCCGTTATGCAAATTAACCCATATTTCCAACTAACGTTAATGCCTCACATACTAACTAGTGTTTCCTTCAATAACAACCAGGTACTCAAACAGATAATATCTCCTAACACATTAGCTTGTGTAGCAATTTTATACACGATGTGATTATTTTGTTTGGTTAATAAATTATGAGACTGGTGTCAATTTCTTTTCTTTGTGTTCATTAGCTTCTTTTTAAGGAAGTCCGTACTTTATGAAAAAAATTGCTGTGCTTTTTGTGCAGAAAAAATGCTCAAAATATACTAAACTGAACAAAAATAATCAAATATACGCCTCAACAGGTAATACATCAAACACTGCGACATTTAAGTCCGGACACGACAAAGTCCGGACTTTTAGGTACCCTTTCGAAAAGACCTACATTAGATTTTTTTCTATATTTTGGTGGGATTTTTTATTCTGACCTCATCATGTCAATATCAACTTCCACATTGTAGTAGTTTTCTCATAAACCTCTGTCAAAACATAAAATCCCATGGGAGAATGGCGGGATTTTTCATCCCACCAAAAACCCATGGGAGAAAAAAATCTTTGAGGGATTTTTTCTCCCATGGGATTTTTTCTCCCATAATAGGCGACATAGGATTAAAAATCCCATATTTGCCCTTCTTAGGATTAAAAATCCTGCAAAGTACATAATACTGGGTATTTTTAATCCCATGGGATAAATAAATAAGCAGATATGGGAATAATGGGATAAGAATGCAATGTCTGAATATACTTTTTGAAGCATTTTATCTTCAATTATATACAAATTCAAATTATTTTTTATGTGGCAGATCTAGAGGCATAACAATGCAAAATTGACTGTTATATATCCATTGTTAAACTGCTTTTGTAGAGCTATTTTAATTAAAGTGAGGGTCATAAACAAATACTATTGCCAGAGAAAACTCAACCAAATGACTTGCCAAGAGAAGAGGAGTGTCTGAGATACTGATTTTTATTTGTTAAGAAAAAGTACAATCAACCGAAAGGGGACTTAAATTTGTGCTAGTGACACTGTCTTATCTTTGTTTGCATACAATACTGAAATCTCCTGATTCTGCTGAGTAATGACCAGTTTCCAAAACTGCTTTCTGATGGAAAAAACTGCATTAGTGGGAATCTTCTGTAAACACTTGGATGGACAGCAATTCTTCTTTTTAAAAAACTATAATAAAAAAATCCTTTGATCCACCACAAATATTTTAAAATAAAAAATTTACTCCTCAAGGATCCACCACTAATGTAAGTTAAGACCATGATCACACATGGCATATAAGCTTAATGTTGAAATCAGTTAGCCATAATCATTTATATCCTTTGATCCACAAAAAATATTTAAAAAAAAATAAAATTGATATCCACTCCCCATATATCCACCACTTATAAGTTTAGATCTTGATCATACATGACATATAATCTTAATGTTTGAAATCAATTAGCTATAAGCCTATAATCATTAATATCCTTTTACCCATCACAAATACATGTATTTAAAATTAATATCCACTCCCCCTGGATCAACCACAACTACTATATAACATAAATATCCACTCCCCCTTGGACCCATCACTTTAAAATTAAGATCATGATCAAACATGACATATAAACTAAATGTCTGATATAAATTAACCACAATCATTGATCATTAATATTCTTTGATCCTGCACCCACCACAAATATTTAAAAAAGATTAATATCCACCCCCTTGGATCCACCACTTATAAGTTTAGATTTTGATCACACATGATATATAAGTTAAATGTTTAAAATCACTTAACCATAAACATCACATGATCATTATTGATTCCTTTGACACATTACAAAATTTAATATTTAAAAATATATCTATCCACCCCCTTGGATCCACCTCAACTATCAAAACAATTACTGGTGAAATATACATGCCTTTGATCCATCACTTATCACACAAAGAAAGGTTACTTAAATGTTTAAATAAATGTGCAATAATTATTAGTATATGCCATGATGATCTACAATAAGCATGATAAGTAATTAAAAATTCAATATCAACTCCCCTTGGATCCACCACTCATAACTTTGGACCATGATATCACATGACTTATAAGCAAACTGTTTGAAATCAATTACCCATAATCAAAAAGATAAAGCCTCTTAATTAGATCAACCTAAAAATAACTCATTTTGATTTGTCTGGGATAAATGTGAAATTCAAAACCATGCAATAAACAAAGGAAAATATTGGAACCCATTCCCTTTAGATCCACCATCCTGTCTTTTGGATATTGATCACCAATCTGATTTATTCTCTTTATCTTTTAATCATTATGTTGGGTATCTTCATCATCTTTATGAATGAAAATATAAGAATGAAATTTAATTACATCTCGTATGTTTCTCTTTATTAACCTAACTGAAATAACCACCTACCGGCAAAAAAAAAAAAAAAAAAAAAAAAAAACCAGGTACATGTAATGAACATGATGTAATAAGACATCTTTATCAATGCATTCAAAGCTTTATACTACAGTGCTTTATTTACCACTAGTTAGTTTTTGAAATGTATCCTTATCACCATGATCACATCCATCAGCTTGACTATTAAAACTACATTGGATAACAAATCAATTAAGTTTTTACATACATTATGTTCACTATAATTAATGTTAGAATTTATATGTTGGAAGTGAACAATAATTCTTTATGTTTCTAATTTAGTGTTACTAGGGGTTTTGAAAAAATATCAAATTGTGAAAATGTTTGCATTATTCAAAGAAATATACAAAAACAAGATGTGTTTGTGAAACACTGTGCCCCCACAGCAACAATGTTTAAAAAAGCTATTCTTAGCATAAAGGTTACAGTCAAGGTCACAAGGTCATTGACCTCGGTGTCGTTTGAAAGCACTTAACTAGTGAAGTAGGCATACCAAATATCAAGTCACTATCTCCTATTGTTTAAAAGTTATACCGAAAGTTCGAAAAATCTAATTTTAGCATATAGGTCACAGTCAGGGTCAAAAGGTCATTGTCCTTGGTGTCAGTTGAAAGTGCTTAATTAGTGGAGTCTATGCATTTTATATATGAAGTCTCTATCTTGATCTGTTCAAAAGTTATGGCGAAAGTTAAAGTCGATAACAAATAGAACAAGCATTCTGAGAGTATTGCATAAGCAATACATGTCCCCTACCGGGTTCCCCTTTTTCTTCTGGATGTCATTTTATAATATGCAAAAGTCATGTCCAAGGTAAAACTGAAAGATTTTCAAGTTGTAAATGCCTTAAAACTAATAAAATAATCCACATTAAGATGAAAATTCAACTCATTTCTCCACCGTCCTTTCCTCGCTTCATATTTTTGTCGACAATCGGAAGTTAGCGCAGTTCGAACCCAATCTCAATTAAGCGATTATGAAAAAATATTCAAAATGCCCTAATTCTGTCAAAAATCAATGAAGCAAAGCAAAATTCAAACTTGATCTGTAACTCATTAAGATACACTCACATATCAAAATTCAGCTCAATATCTGCAAGCGTTTAGAAAAAAAGTGTGGAAAACCAAGTGGGACAGACTGACGGGGACAGACAGCTAGACAGACGGACGGACGGACGCAGAGGAAACCTATAGTCCCCC